ACAAGAGCCCGTCTCCACATACCAATAAAGAACTCACCCTTTCAGCCAAAATTGTTTTTTGTTTTGAAACGAGAGCCTTCGGAATCCTTAGATCAACTTCTTTTAGGACAGAGCGACAATTAGGTCTGTTCCTGCAAAATGAAATTCTGATTATGCTGATTAGATAAAGGCATTTTCGACGCTGATTTGATAAATAAAGCACTGCTCGCGCAGGGACTTATCGTTTAGCTCGAAGAACTGGAAGTCGGCAACAACGGTGGATGGGGGTTTTGCAATCCGCCTCATTGAGCTTCCGCATACAAATGTCTAATTATGGCTTAGCACTGCACCTAGAATTGCCTGAGAAATGGGTACCTATGGATAGGGCGAAAAGGTAGTGGGACGTTTGCTCGTTAAACCTCCTAAAAGTAACTGTCAGCTGGTACCATTTACTCGTTTGATCCAAAAAAAAACTGCGCTCGTCTTAAAGCTACTGCTAGGAACCTCCTTTAATTATGTTGTTGATTACATAGGCATCTCATTACGCATAATAATGAGTACAATTAGCACAACTTCAATGACGTCCAAAATGCTGAAAACCCACTCGATGTGGATGGCACGTCCTCATACCAATTCTCGGTAGTGGCTCCCACATCCGACTTTCATACTCTCAAAGTAGGCTGGCCTTCCCTACTGGTAAAAACGCCAGTAGCCTAAGTTCGTCTGCAAGGGGAACGTGACAGTTCAAAGGATAACTATTGAAAATGAAATTTATTGACTCTATTGAAAAATCGAGCAAATAAGAAGCATTGAGGAGGGGGGGGGCGAAGTGCAAAGACCGAAAAGAGAGACGAAGTGAGCTTAGGTGAATAGCACGATAAATAAGCAAGACCTACAGGGTCGATGCTCCTAATGTGAAAGAATACTGTGTCCTGTGTGTGTTCGAACCAGCTCAGAGAAGGTGGAGACTACTTTCATAGTTGATCTGCTCAAGTTCAAAAGCCGCTGCTGGATTTCAGAGCTGACTCTTCTTCTTCCTCTTCCTCAGCGTTTGTCCCGCTCTGTAGCGGGGTCCGCTCGTCTTATTTTGTCACGCCACTTCTCCCGATTGAATGCTTGATCGGGATGGGCGCCAACTATTTCAGAGCTGACTGAGAATCGATGAACCTCTATCGGGCTACCTTGGAGTATGGTACTGCCGTATTCAATCCTTGTAAGTTCAAGGCAATTACCATGTTGGAGAAGGCGTTGCAAGCGTTTTGGGCTGCCTACTCTTGCGCTGAAGAGAGAGCATAGGGATCTCCCTGTTTTTAGTCGTGACAGGGCCACAGCAAGGATCTTATCGTTGGAGGCAAACAATACTTACGTTAGCACAGCAGGAATCAGCAGGAAGAATAGGGATAGGGGCTAGAACTTCCGTCCTCATTTTCCTACTTTTTGAACGACCTTCCGCCCTCATTTCCCCACTTTTTGAAATGAGAACTGCATTGCATTTATATTTTCCTTCGGTCAATATATTTTCCTTTGCTTTCTTTCTTTCCGATTGGCCAGGTCCGTGTGTGAATCTGAGCATGAGTTAGCCTGGAAAACAACAATATTAACTGTGGGCGGAGCCCATGAGGAACTGAGGGCGTAGTCACGGCTTCTTATACAGGTCACTGAGATGTTTCTCGTGCTAGAAAATGGTTTTACACTCTTTGTACCGGTGATATTTCCCAGTACAGAAACGCTGACATGGCCTTGCTTCCGAATTCTTTATGCTACTGAACTGACATTTATTCTTATTGCACTTCCCGGGGTGGTTCTGTTTGTACGAGCGCTCGACAACTCTGCTCGACTATTTCACAGGAATCTAATCAGAGTCATGCAGGTAGTTCTTGCTCTTACGCTGATGTAAGATGCTCACGATGGAACTGTTGATATCGCAGCCCGTAAGGAGATGCTCTGGCTGCTATTTACCCTCTATGACACACTCATTCTAATTCAGCCTAAATTTCTGTCCAACTTCGGAAAGCAAGTTAAGCTGTAAATTTGTCCTTGTCCTATCGTAATCACCTGAACACTGATGTCTGAACTGCGTAGCCTTAGGATAAATGGTGATCGCCTTCTGTAGTCAAGCTCATACCCCGCTCTCGCTCACAATCTTCGCCAAGTACTTTAACACGATGGCCAGGCATTTATGCTCTAAGCGTGTAATTAGTGCACAGGAGTCGAAGTCTCCCAGCGATAAGTTTACAACGATTATTAGAGGCCTTCACCTTCAGGGTGTCACAACCAGGGACCGTTTGCTGTGAGAAACATATGGGATCGTATTTTATTATGAGGAAAAGTCTTTTTCATTGTTTATTTTCTCGTTTTAAGCGGGCTGTAAACCGCGCTGGGCCCTAAAGCAGATAGGTGGAAGTAAGGGTCATAAGAGGGGTTAATTTGGGAGGGGAGATTGTATTCTGCAAACGTTATCCTCGACGTGGTGGTGTTGCACTGGATCATAAGGCTCCAGGCCAGAACAATGTGTCATTCGCGTTCAGGAGGAGAGAGATCGATTCCTATGAGTAAACCCGCCAAAATGTCCCCGAGTAAGGTCGTGGGAGGGAAATATACAAAGCTTTCAAATGCTCACGAAACTGCAAAAAAAAACGCTACGCTAGTTTTTTTTGCAGTCGTTTCTGGATTTTGTGGCATTGCAGCCATGGCCGTAAATGAGACTGAGCTGACCTCAACTCCTATAGCTTTTGCATGTCATTGAGTAGTCTTCAATCTGATGTAAAATGAGTTCTTCTCGATGTTTTAGGTGCACCTCATTGCTGTCACTCTATCGCAGGTGTCACGTTTACTGGCTTCGTTCTAATGAAACCCGAATCATCAAACGATCGGGTAACTATCCTTGGAATTCTTTTCTGTGACTTCATACAGTTTTCAGCACTGTTTTCCACCGCTTTACTTCGGAATTTTCCTCCACCTTCTGTTGACTAGGATGGTTTTGCTGAATTCCACCGGCTGCTACTGGCTCGGTAGTGCGGGGTGACCCTGAAAGCCTCACAGCTAACTACAACCAGCACTGACTGACGTCGTCCCGGTCATGCGGTGGTGTGCTGGCCTCTGAGGATGGCCATGTGGTCGAAACGTCAGGCTGAATTCAATTAAGAGTTCCACCTAGCATCTTCTTTGGCAAAATAGATTCGAAAGTCGTAAAAAGCTCTGTTTGTTGATAGCTCCAGGAATTGGAATTTTCGGTCGATTGTTGTGCTTGAGGGATTTTCCACTTGATTCTGTTCTTCCATTTAGAATGAAAGAAAATCTTTTGAAAATCAAGTCACATGAACTTAATATTAAGCGTTCATGAAACCCTAATCCCCTCTTTCTCGCCCGCTCCATATATGGATTCTATAATGGTTCGTTTGTGAAAGCAGATGAGCAATGAAATGAGCTTACAATTCAGTTCCGGAGGTAAAAGTTCTTGATGTCACTTTGAAGCCATTGGTGACTACATACTAGAGGCTGTTGTCGTTTCTGGCTAGGAGAGCACGGCGCTTTTTTCGTGAACCGGCGACGGTCTTAAGCCCCTAAGGCAGCGTTCATACTTGTAGCGCTACAGCGTCGCGCTACTGCGTCGCGCTACAGCGTCGCGCTACAGCGTCGCGCTACAGCGTCGCGCTACAGCGTCGCGCTACAGCGTCGCGCTACAGCGTCGCGCTACAGCGTCGCGCTACAGCGTAGCGCTACAGCGCCGCTTCGCAACGTACTGCAATTTCCAACGTTAGGATGATTAGAGTTGCTTACAGAGAAAAGTGGGAAGGTTGCTGGAGTTTTCTTGAGAAATTCACGGAAAGGTGAGACTGATACAGCTGTAACTATCTGACCATCCTTGACAGTTACTCCATTAGTCACTATTTTTTTCTGGACTGCTTAACAGTGTCCTTCTGTATTATTAAGAGCATTTTCTGCAAAAAACACCCAAAGAGTACTCGCGCCACTAAAACACGGCAACCATCTTTTTTTAACCGGAAGACAGAAAGTTGCATAAAGAACTTCTTAGTTTGCGCTTGTGTTAACGCATGTGGTGACCAGAAACCGACCAGACAGTGTTCGCGTGCCTGTTGTGGGAGATAAGGCCATTTTTACGCTCCTGGGCCAAAAAAAGTACAAGAAACTGTCAAAGCTTTGTTGGGTAATGCCTCGAAAACCGGCATGAATCTTTTTCTTGTGATCCAGGCAGAGATTGGGGCGAATTCGAAAAGCAGATTTCGTTCCATAATCCATAAGCGGCATTGGATTCTGTAATCATTCTTTCTCTATTCAACCCTCTTCTCTTTGTTTCTCATATTTATCTGATAGTGAGCTCTGTTGTCTACCTTTATTACATTTTAATGTAATTTCTGATACAGAGGACTGTTATAAAATTGGTCTTATTATCGTTTTTGACTTTAAATTATTGGTTTCAGAGTTGCTATTGATGTTTGATGGCTTTGCTTGATGCCTTGCAGTGGTGCCTCACGTTGACTCCGATGACGAAATAGTTTTTGGCATCCACGTACAGATGGCAAGCCATGATGTCTTAGTGGCGGCGAGTCAGCTTTCTTTGGGTGTTTTTGCAGAAATGCTCTTTATCAGGACAGAAGGACACGTTACGCAAAGCAGATAAGCAGAAAAAATTAGGACTGAATGAGTAAACTGGTCAGGATGGCGTCAGATAGTTACAGCTGGTATCAGTCTCACCTTTTCCGTGATTCTCCAGAAACTCCGAGGCAACCTCCTAAAACACTTTTCTCTGTAAGCAACTCTAATCATCCTAACGTTGGAAATTGCAGTACGTTGCGAAGCGGCGCTGTAGCGCTACGCTGTAGCGCGACGCTGTAGCGCGACGCTGTAGCGCGACGCAGTAGCGCGACGCTGTAGCGCGACGCTGTAGCGCGACGCTGTAGCGCGACGCTGTAGCGCGACGCAGTAGCGCGACGCTGTAGCGCTACAAGTGTGAACGCTGCCTAATAAGTAGCCACTTTCGTGGGCAACAACTTTGATCCCTTGGAGGCACCAGCTCCGAACATGGTGATATAACAACTGTGTCAGATCACATGGCTGAGCAATCGCAATCGCAAAACCTTCCGTGGCCATCCAGCTGACATCTCCCTAGAAGAACTACTGTTGTTTCTGCTTTATTACGAAAGCCGTATAGCTGTCTTGTCCGTGGACACACGCAACTCCGACATGATGATATAAACTCTGGTGGCTGGCATGCTTAACTCCGTTCAGCGTGAGGCGAACATAAATGAGGTGGATTACGCTAACATTGAAACTGCACTCGGCTTCCTCTTCATGTATAAATTGCAGTAAAGCCTTTTTGTGATACCTACAGAACTTTATATTTTTGCGTAGAAAAGAGAGATTGACGGGACCATCACCTGACCAATGTTATTTTTTCAATTAGAGCAAAGACGTCTGAAGAGCTGTCGAATCCCTTCAAGGTTGAGGGTCGCTCGTTTTTCATCTTTCACCTGTTCATGTTAGGAGGAATTGCAACAGTAGGGATCATCCACTTGCAGGGGTCGCGCTGAATCAGAAAGCGTATGCCCGCAGCTTTGTTGGCCGCCTTCCGGCTCCAAAAAATTACGACAGATATCGGAACCATAGGACGTGGACCTCTGCAACGATTAAATAGGTCTTTCCGCTGTCGCTCTCATATGAATGGGGTTTTGCAAAATCTGCGACGTCGGCGATGTTCAGACCAAGAGGGGGGGGGTTGGGTAGGTTCGGGAGAAGGGGGAGATGCCATTGCACTTCCGCCTGGTTCATTTCCGCAAGTTCATTATTCGTTAACAGGGTTCTTCTTTGATAAAACCTGCAAACCCTTGTGAACTTGCGAAATGAAATAAGAGAGCCACTTTGGTTGCAGGATTTTGTAGGCGATAGCCTGTAGATGCTTCGCTGAGTACCATTTGCTGCCTCCATAGAGCCGAACAATCCTATTGGCAGAATAGCTTCAGAGCCAGCGACTGTGCGTGACAAAGCTGATCCATACCATAAAGGCAAAAGAGTTCTATGGTGCATTACTCGAAGATAAATTGGCATTGATATCTGTCAGTTGCGATAATGGGATTTGCGGGCGAAAAGATCCACGTAATTGTAGAAACTGGCGCTTCAGGCCTCCCTGAGCCACGTCATTGTGTGACAAAGCCTTCGGCATGAGTTATTATTTTCCAACCCACGCTGTTCGCATGGGCAGACTTTGACCTAACATAATGGTTTTCCTCAATAGCTTCCCATGTGTCTTTGCCACCTTGTGACGGAGACAACGTGGAAAAGAGAGCGATAGGCGGGATAGGACTGATTTCGCCTGTGTGGGCTGCGACTTCGAAGTGATGATTCCACCTAGGTCGGAATAATCAAATTTTTCGAACACAGTGAAAATTTTCTTTTCATCATCTTCTCTAATCATTTGCGATTTTCAGAAGATTCGTTCGACGCACTGGTTTTCGTGACAGTGGCGGTGCGATTTGCCTCCATATGTTCACTTTTGACGATGATTCCAGCGATGATCACCGAGCGAGTGTTCGCCTCGCGCTATATATCCGATTACGAAAAACTGCCTCGACCGCTGGATCTCTTTTCTAATAAATGTGCTGCGAATATGTAGCTATCTCTATCCTTTTACTGCCTAACAATGCTAGGTGAGTCTCGCAGTTTTCTCTAGAGCAGAACCATCGCTATATGATCAACTTACTGGAGAATGGTTCTACGAAAATGTATGGATCTCGAACGCAGTGCGCTTTCTCCCGAAATTCCACAACCCTGACCATTTTTTATTTGTTCTTTTACTGCTGGCGTGCCTTTCTGGGCAATATGATTTGTTTGTGGCCATAGTCTATCAAATAGTAGCTGCCATAGTTGCATTGACAGAGCTATAAGTTCATACTTTGCGGCAGCGTCCACAGGCCACCACCAGCGTCCACCTGCGGCCAAGAGTATGACGTTGGGTAGTAGCACGGCGCGTTTGTATGCGCCACAATTTCGCGATGCCCCTATTTCCTATTTTATTAGTTAGTTGTTTTTTGCCTTTATGAAGTACATTAGAACGTGGACTCTTTTTTGTATTGTGATGAAGTGTGTTTTGCGATTCTTTTAGCTATTTGCGCAATCCTTTGCTTAATTGTTCAATTGTTCGCAAAAATTAAAGAAAGCTCAATTAGAGGATTCTTGTGATCTCAGGAACAGTCAACCTCAAACAGCGATCCCAAAGCAGTGAAAAGGCAGGGAGAAAGATAAAACCAGGCCGGAAACAGCTGATCGCCACCAGCAGTTCCTACTTACGCCGTCGCTGCTGCAGCCGCGTCTACGACCATTCGACCACCGAATAATCAGCTGCTCGGATGACGATCGTACTTCCGCATACTTTCTATTCCTGTCGCTGATGAATGCTGATAAACGCTAGATCGATATCCATAGTTCCTTAGTCCGGAGACGTGAAGATCATTGGCGAACGCTGGTGGACCGTGCCGCAAACTAAGAACGCAGCTCAACTTCTTATGGTAGCATGTGCTCGGACCCGTGGCCATTATAGTACCATTGCTGACCAGTTTGCCCATTACTCCCAAAAATCTATCATTGGTCACATTTGACGACAGGAAGAATAGATGTGAAGGACAAATTTCATCGAACCCCCTATGGAAACGGGAGGTAGGGCTGTTGTGAAAAGAAGAAGTCTTTTGGATCCCGGAGCTGTTTTCTTTTTCTCGAGTGGTCACTATTAGAAAGAGTTATGAATACTTCATCACTTTTGTAAGAAAGCAGCCAGACCTAAGGTAGCGATGAACTCACGTTGTCCAGTGAAGCGAAACCTCAATTCAGCATGATTTGTTTGAACTTTCACGTCGGCTATAAGTTGAGGCCTAATTGAGGATGAAATTTGATTCAGAGTAAAGTGCGTGTAACGAACAAAATGTGTGAAGTAAATAGGTTAGTACAGACATCCGCTGAGTGACTGGCTGAATGATAGCCTCAAGAATGTATTAGGGTTTGGGCTACTTTGAAGGATTAAATTGCTCAGAAGCTTACTTCAAAGGAATATCCAGACAACTAAATATCGCGCACTCCAGTCGCGATGGACGCCCCATACGCAAAGGTGGGCGCTGTGGTTTGGGGGGGGAGGTGAGGGGAGGGGGTGGGAATGACACTACACTTTCATTAGTTTCTTTTGCTAATTCCTGGTGAATTGCACGTCTCACCTTGTTGAAACCTGTAGACTCCTGTAAAATGTAAACGAATATTCTGCTATTCCATAGCTTTACAAGAATTTACAGGTCCTCGCATGTGGCATCGGCAATTCCAGTAAAATGCCCCACAGAGCCAAACTGCGCTAAGAGTGGATGACGGCTTTATATTGGCGCGCTACAGCCACATACGATCATACAAATTATCCCAGGGAAAGGTACAATTTGCTAGACGGCATTGCACCACGAGGTAGATAGCAGCCCAACTACATTTGGACTTCGGCGAGGTCTCGGTGCTTACTCCATCTGTGTGTTAACCGATTCCAGCGAACTGCATTTGAGCCCTCTTGCGCCGTCAATATCAGCAGCTTCCTTCTCCAAATTATGCAAAAAAGTAAACGAATGATTGCCCCGAACAGCCATCCACTCTTCAGATCCTAGTTACTGCGACAAACTGCCAAACCGGTCTCAACTTCGCGGTGACGACGCAATTTCTGAACCGCTATCCTCAGCTTCAAAGCAGGGATGCTGTGCTGATATTTCGTATTCCCTTTGTGACCCCAGTGCTGCCGGTGGTGAATGTTCATTGGCTGCTATGCTGTAATGCTGTGCAAGTAGTTTCCTCTAGCGTAACAGCAAAACTATTTGCGGTTTATTTTTCACATGGCAGTGATCCAATCTTGGTGTGGTGACCTAAAAGAACTGCTCTAGCGCGTGATGTGTCCTGGAAGGGAATGGTCAAAAGCTACGTCCTTGCTCCTTTATCTCCCTTTCGCATGCAGCGCCAGTTTCGTCATTTTGTCATGCGCTCCATTACTGCCAATATTGTACCTTGCAATGCTTTCGAGCCGCCCGCATCGTGCTCCTTCGCTATCTGAACAAATCTTTGATCACTGCTATTAGCGAAACTTGAGACGCTGCTGCTCGTTTCGGAACTTACTTAAATTCGTCCCATTATGCCTACTTCTCCAGCCCAAAACCCGTTGGCGAGTCGCGTCATGTAATTTATTCTGGCTTATATCGCTTTAGGAAGGATGGGGGAGGGGGGCAGAGGGTGGATGATGGCATTCACCCTGAAGTCCCGTTGATAGGTCCACGCTGCGTTGCGAACAGTGCACGTCGTGTATTGGAATGTATCGCGCTCCGCGCATGCTTCTGATCGATAAAAGCATGCGGGATCGGCGCCGTCGAAAGCATGTTCGATTGACTTTGTCGCGAAGTATGACGGTTGGCTTAGTAAAGATTGTTGACTTTTCTCGCGTTTTCTCCCTTTCCCGTTGCTATACACCTACCGTTTGAATGCAGTTTTTGAGGGAAATCTCGGGAAAAGTGGTAATAAGTTGGACAACTTCAAGGAGTTGGTACGGGAAGGTCCTATTCTGCAAAAGCCTCGCAAAGATCCCAGTTCCAACGGGTGGATGTGCCCTGGTTGTGAATTCTATCCCTGCAAGTTGAGGACAATTGCTGTTCCCGGCATAGACGGGACATCCAATGTAGAAGGGATCATAAAAACAAATACAGTAGGAGTCGAACGAACAAAGAACCGACGAGTGACTGAATAACAGGTGTCTGGTACAAACAATATGAAAACATGTGAGATGGGATGCCGATAAAGTCCAATAGAGGACTTTGAAAGCAGCTGCAGTCCCGGAAATGTTGACAAAAAATATGAGATAATAATTATGAACTAATTGCCGCATGAATCTGCTTTAGTCAGGTAATAAAAATCCAGAAGAAAGTCAAAATAGGAAAAAAACCTTGAGCCGCTTTCACGCATTCCGAAAGCGAGACTGGAAGAACTGGAGGATAGCATTCTTTTCTCCAGCTTCGCACTCCTCTTTCAACTTTATCAATCGTTTCGTTACTCTATTTTATAGTCCTCTAATGAACGCTCTCCACGTGAACCCTTTTGTAGTTGTTGTTTGCTTCGGATTCCGTGATTCCTTCTCTTATCAGTTCTTCGTTCATCCAACCTCTGCTGGACCAGTAAAGAGTTCTATTGGAAGTATTAAAAAGTGGTTGTAAGAATTTTCTAAAGATAACATTCAGGAGGGAGCTACACTCTAGTTCGCTGCGGACGGTTGGGCGTGTCAGGCAGTATGAGTGTGTCACCCCGTCAAAGCCGTTCTCTGCCTTCTTGTTGAAGCGCGACAAAAAGTGGTAGAAAACGAGTAATACGAACGATATGATACAGTCATTCCTTCGCTCGCTTTAAGAACTGGTGGAGAACGGGTTTGGCACCGCGCCAATTCATCCCGCCTAACACGGCCCAACGTCCACGGCCGAACTACACACTATAGTATCATTCCCCATCGTTCCTATCAATTCCATTGCAGTATCATCGCCGTATCATTCAGTTTCTATGAATGCTTACAGAATTTGAAAAGCTTTTCCTCTTTCCCGAAACCAGACAAGCGTTCCACTCCCATTCAGAATTGAAGGGCTCCTTGAAACCTGCAAGGTGACCGGGTGAAAGAGAGAGACCGAGAAAGCCCATATAGCTTCTTTTTAATGCGTCGGAACTGTGCAGTAGAATCTGACCTACCTAAACCCGCCCAGCGTGCTGGTTCAGGGACTTCAGGCTTGGATCTCCCCCAGGGTGCGGCACGGTGGTGTGTTAGTGGTGGCGGCAGCAGGACCCCTGGAATTCCTTTCTGGTATGCTTTCTCCCTTCCTTATCCTCCTTACCACTATTTCGCTGGACTAGATCAGTTTCTCGAATTCTTATCAGCTTCTCCAACAGAATGTTGCGCCCAAATTCTCTGGAAAGTCGGTAGCAAGGAAGAAAGCGGGAGGCGGGTGGGATAGCCGACCATAAAGCGAGGAAAAACTAATAAAACTCACTAACGATTCTTGGTTGGGATACTGCCGACGTAAAGAAGAGCGGTTAGCATTGACATCGAGATTGGTTCTTAGAAGCGGTAAACCGCGACTAGTGCATCAGCTGATTGTCAACCATGACAGAGACATATGGCGCTCAAAAGTCACCACAACTCCTAATGAAAGTGATGTGCGCGAGCTTTTTTTCTTCCTATTATATTTAAGATTACAGGGTATCTAGTTGCGCTTCTTCGTCTATATCCCACAGTTGCTGCTACCATCTACGCGTTGCTGCGCATCTGAACGATTTTGGCAACTCTCACTGAATGAGGCGGCCAGCTGCCAGTTTTCACATGCGCAGTCATGAATTTCTCAGGCTGATTTTTCGTCCTGCGCAAAAACAACTGACGTTTATTGTGTCGTTCGCTTCTTTGGAATGAGCATTATACATGCGCTAACAAGCCTTTCTTCATGGATATTTTATCATTGAGTCAGAGCGCGGGTGTAACTTTGTACACCTACTGCGGTAATCAGGCACCATTCGAAATTTGTCGAAGATCATGGAATGAGCACGAGTTTGCCATGGGCGAAGACTGTGTGTTCATTT